ATTGTTGGTGTTCCCATGTTTCATTGGTGGTCGCAAGAGAGTATTAGGACCACAGTCACAGCAGATTGGTCTCTAGGATCTGCTAATTACTTATGAATGAGATCTAAGGGCTGTTTAGTTCCATTTAGACCTGTTCATGGGCCGGGTGGCCCGATGGGCCGGCCCGGCTCAGCCCGGCCCCTGGACAGGCTTGAACAGGTTTATCTATTTTAAAATTCGAGTTGGGCTCGGGCTTTGCCAAAATAGCCCGGCCCGAGCCCGACCCGGCCCAACCTATAGTTAAACCTAAGTAAAAACCCTATGTGATGTCCATTTGAATAAATTTTTTGATTTAAGAAGGTTGTTGATTCACTTGTAGGCCCATTGTTCATTTAAATAGGGGAAAAAGCATTTGAATTAAAATAGATAATGTTCATTTGGATAGGGAAAAATTCGGATTTCTTTTATTAGGTCGGGCTTCGAGCTCGGGCTCGAGATCGAGCTTCGGGCTTTTTATCAGGGCTAGGCTCGGGACCAAGTTGTAGGCCCGTTGGTCGGGCCGGGCTCGGGCTCGGGCCTAACATTTTTCTGTTAATAAAGAGTAAAAGCCCGACCCGATCCCGGCCCGGCCCAGCCCATGAACAGGTCTAGTTCCATTGTTGCTTATTAAATAAACATTAGTTATACACCAATAGACACCACATAAGATGAATAGTGAAAGAAGCCAAAGTGTTGGGATAACGTCAAAATGACATTTCTCCCAACAGATAGCTTTCACACAATTTGAGAAAAACGCTTATTTGATAAACAGTTTAATTAAACAATATTTCAAACTTCATTGGAGGAAATGTCTATGTGGTACTGAGCTAGTATCCATTTTTTAGATAAATGGAAATGAAACCAAACACTATCCTAATATAAAATGCACTTTCAAGCATGTAAATACAGACCATATAATGTATTTATGTGGCAATAAATCCTGTACTTGTATGGTTTAAGGTGAATTCCTATTGGGGATTTAACAATAAATCATGCTATAGGTAGTTTAGCTGTTTCAAAGAAGCTAATGAAAGATAGGGTTGAGAAAAAAAAAAAAAAACAAATGACCAAAACCAAATCAAAAAATCGATTAACCGAACCAATCAGTTCGGTTTCGATTCGGTGTTTTAAAAAAACCGAAGGTACCAGTTCGGTTTCGGTTAACCAATATAGAAAACCGGCGGTTAACCAAACTGACCGATATACATATATTTCTATATATTTTATATATATTTATGTATATTATATATATTTCATATTTTTATATATTATAAATTAATAAATATGCATTATATATATAAATATATGTTTATAATTTTTTWTTATATATATAATATATTGTAAAAATTAAAAAACAGACGAACCAAATTGACGGTTAATCGAACCGGTCAACTGATTAACCAATTGACTTTGGTTCGATTTCAATTACTGGTTTTTCAAAAATCGATAGTACTGGTTCGGTTACATAAAAAGGCCCACGGTTCGGCTAACCAAACCGTGAGCACCCCTAATGAAAGAAACTTGTTTGGATAACCACTCAGATGCATCTTTCAAACTTCAAAGTATAGGGCCGCCTTTGACCAGGCTTAGCATCTATAATAAGGGCTATATATATACCAAAAGATGACAGAGCATGAAAGCCACTCCCAAACAGACACTTGTTTTAAGCTTATTTTGACACAAAATAGGATATTCCTTGTTTTCCAAAACAAAAACAACTGCCACATCAGCAAAACCAATTAGTATGATTTTACTGATATGGCAGTAGTTTTTTGTTTTAGAATTAGAAACAAAATCACGTATAAGTAACACATAAGATATCTAAAGGTCTTATCAGATTGAACCCAATAAAACCGGTCAATAGACCTAACCCATTGATAGCTATACACTCATGGGAAAGGCTAAGCAGTGATCTGTGTGACTGCTCTCAAAAATTGCAACACCAAACACATGTTGAAGACAAGTATAGCATGCAGTGGTTGTGTTAGTTAGAACCCATTTGGGAGGGGTTCTGCGGTGATTGAGCTGCATTGAGCCGCTTATGAGAAGTTACCTATGATAGCTTCACTAGAAAGTTGATTTTAAGGCTCATGAAAAGCATTTTTTTATTCACTTTTCTGGATTTTTACCAAACAAGGCTTACCGGTTTTATGGGTTTCTTGGTTCTTGCAATGCCAGAAGCCGCTGCATGAAAACCCTCCTAAACAGGCACTTAATAGCCAATGTTGGCAGCAGATCCAGAGAGTAAATTGACAAGAGAGAGAGAGAGATTGGTGGAAAGTTGAAACAGAATGACATAGACCACAAACCTGGCTAGCTTCCTCGTTGGAAGAGAAAATGAAGCAAACAGTACAAAATGTACACAAGATGATGTATAATACAGGCCGACAATTTAATGGACCCAAGGATGTGCCGGACTTCCAAGGCAGAGAGGGGTCACCAATGACAATGAGCACTGTGTTTGTAACCTTTCGGGCATTTCAATGGTGCCCAGACTGCCTGCCTGTCTTTGAGTGTCTGCCCTAAAGGAAAAGGAAACACCCTAATAAACTTTATAGAAGGTAGACAAAGGCAGACATTCAGCATCTCTCTCTCTGCTAATCTTTACATCCAACTCCAAGCAGAAGCAGAAGGTTTATTCCATGGAATTCACTGATCTTCTTTCTGAATTCTGAGAGGAAGAAGAGTTGTATACCTCCAAGCTCCCTTTTGCTTTTTACACCAACAAAAAACATTGGGGCAACTCTTTCTATGTAAAAAGAAAAGAAAAGAAAAGAAAAAAAAAGAAACACTAGATTTGCTTGTTTGGTACCCTTTAAGGCTTTAACGAGAAAAGGGAAAGCACGTGGGGTACAGGTTGCTAATGAACTAAATTCTAAACAGTATCATATCTTCCTTCATCATTGTGAGAAGGTAAAGCAAGAGTTCTAGTTCTGAAGTTTAAAAAAATGAAACAGAAAAAGAAAGCAGCAGTATATACTAAAATAGGGCTTTAAAGGACAAGCCAGCACATGCTGGATGGTAATAATATATAATGGAGGGCTCAGTTTGAAGTTGAATGCTGAATTCAATTGAATCCCTAGCAAGTAGCTAAGCAAAAAAGTTGATTTCAGTTCTGGGCTCTCTGTCATCATCATCATGCGCGCTATGCACTAAGGTTTGTTGCAGCCTGCAGGCAGGCAATCAGCTAATGAAGCCTGTTTACAATTCTCATGTGCTCCATAGTCCATATAACCTACAAGTACCCTTTTTTTCTAAAAAAAAAAAAAAAAAAAGTTATAGAGCTTGAGATTTGGGTGATCTGATGGGGAGTCCATATCTGTTGACCATAACACATTGTTAGTCATGTTCATCCAGCCACATATCAATGATATAAAGTACGCAACTGATGTTCTAGATATGCAGTTGGATGAACGTGGTCAGCAGGTCTGAACTCATATAATCGCCCTTCTGATGCACATGTACCAAGTGTGATTGCATCCATTTTGCCCTGCCCAAATGCCCATTGTGGCCCATGAATGGGATCCAAAAAAAAATTCAGTTCAGGACCTAGGGTATTTTAAGGAAAACTGGGATTTCCAAATTTCGTCATCAAAAAGGCACAACAATTCAATTCAATTCAATGTCCAAAAATAAACTGTTAAAACAAATCTTCTCTTTTTTGCAAATTCAAATATTCAATTTCAATTATTGAGAAATTCCAAATTATGTCACAAAATATGCTTTCGTCATAGACCAAATATTCTCAAATTTTGGATGAAAAAACGTATCTATGCAAAATATTTAGCTTAAACCATGTGGGATGTGGCCCTATCCCTATGAGTTTTGAGTTTATTGAAATGGGTCAAACTCAAAAATATAGGTTAGGTACATAGGTTGGGACCTACTATGTTTGGTTGATATAAGCACTAGAATTGGTGTTTTTTGAGTTGCACGCTGGACGTCAGGTGAAGTTTTGGTTTTAAATTGAATGGCAATGGAGCCATGGGCCATGGGGGGGCCTTTTCCTTTTTCTGATGCCTGCAGACTGGAGTTGTGCATTGCAATTGGGACGCCCCAGAAATTAGAATCCTCCGAAATCAGAAGCATTTATCACTTCTTACTCCAGTCATCCATCATTCATCAGTGCCTGCCTTCTATATGTCTCTTTTCACTTTTCAGTGACTTGAGTTGAGGAAAGGAGGACCGGTATGTATGTGATGTAAACCTCTCTGACACCAAACACCAGTTCAGCTGTGCCCAGAAAACCCCTTGTGGAATGGAACGGAAGCAGTGAGTGAGTACTGAGGAGGCACTGCCAGTCTGCCACTGGGTGCTCGCTTTGCTGCTAATGGAGGTGGAGGACCATTGATGAGTGATGACTCACCCCAGCAATAGCCGCATGACTCGCTTCTTCTTCTCTCTCGCATCCCTTTAACTCTGATTCAATTGCACAACCCTGACAAAAATCGTGTACAACACCAATGGATGCAACTCTCTATTGCTATCTTTAATAAAAACATTACCATCATCAAACAGATTATCCTGAACATGTTCAATGACTCATTATTCCAAAAGGTGCCTCTATTCTACTGAGACCAGAAGGATTCACCATGCTTCCAAGCTTCCCCCTGGGTGTTTCCATTAAAACAAAAGGTTTTAAACTCTGTAGTGTCTAGCCATTTCATAAATGTCAGATCCTTTCATCCATCAGGTTTGGTTTCTTGGACCCACACAAACTTCGCCATGATTCCAAACTTGCCCTCCGGGGATATCTTCACACCACACAAGTCCCACATATACATCGAATTTAAAGATTCTAACTTACCTCCTTTAGCTCCAGATGTAACTTCTTTGGCCAAGGGTTCTTTCCCTAATTCCCTTTTCTAATCAGAAAGGGTTAGTTCCAAAGTTAAAAATTTCATTTGGCCCAAACAGGACTGAAGTAGACTGGTTAGGGTGTAGAAGAAAGTGAAATAAATAAAAGGGAACGGAATCCAACATTTTCTGGAAAATGGGCAAAAATGAAAATGTATATGATAAAATTTGTAGTAAATTCCCCCACTTTTGGAATATAATATATACAACTAAAGTTACAGTCCATGAAAATTGGGAAGTGGGATATAGTAATCATTCTTTCTGTAGGCAAGGTGCCCCCACCTCCCATGATAAAGAAGCAAGAAAGAAATTGAAATATGGTGACTGATCTAGTAATATAGAGGAAGACAAATTAAAAAAAAAAAATACATATGTGAATAGCAAAGAAATGCCATCAAAACAAAGAATTTTAATGAGAAGGATTTCTCATTGATCACCTTTATTAACTTTTATCTCTAAGAGTTCTTCAATAGGCTGGCGGCATATTGGACACTTGTTAGATTGAAGCCTCAGTTCTTTTGCACAATCACTGCACATACACTGAAAATGCAAACGCCATCGTCCAACATGAGAACAGAAGCATGCTAAATAGTAAAGGAGAAAGAATAAAGTGGAAGTGGTGATAGAGACGACAGTTATGAGCTGTGCAAGTGGCTGCCATATGCTCCATCTCATAAATATCTCTCACTCCAAAGTTGGCAATTTTCCAAATCTTCAGAAAATGATAAAATCAAACCTAAAATAGCATTCTAGTATCATGATGTCTGACAATTTCTTTAAAAGAAATTATGACACGGCAATAAAGCAAGCTGGCTTTTCCTTTAATGATTGGAGGATGGGGGTCATGCCAGCAATCGTCATGGCATGCACCTCCAACGGTGAAAGAACATCTCCAAATATAAGTTTAAAACTTAAAACTATCAACTCCTTCATCATTTTAAAACAGGAAGTAAAGGAAAACGAAAAAACAGGAGCAGATAATGGGACCATTTAAATTATCGAACCAGCCATTGGGTCATGATCATATAAAAACGCTCTATTAATATTAAGTAAACATGAAAAGCTTCCGGTGCTTATCATTCAAAAGCTCCAAGATTCAGACCAAAAAAAGGGGAAAAACAAAGTTATCTTTTTAGCCGAAGAATGTTTGGTTAAGTGGGGTTCTCATCAAATCACCACCCAACCAATCTATCAACCTTTCTCCAAAAATTAGCCACATCTTTCTAACAGTCCAGAAGCTAGTGATAGGTTGAATGGTTCAGATAACCCAATTAGGTCAATTTTATGCCAAGGAAATTTCCTAGTTACCATGAKAGTGGATCCCTCCCCAAATGTGACAAAACACAAATATGCAGGTCCTATAATAACAAAATAACACAAGATTCCTCTAAATAAGAAGGATGGGCTCTCACCATATGTCGACAAGGTAAAACTGCTGTATCTTTTGGCTCTGCCATGCAAATAACACACTCTTTCCCTGGATCATTGCCATCAAACCCAGCTTCTTCTGAGTTTCCAACTCCATAAAGCTCACGCAACTCATAGCGAACCCCATCAACCCACAATATCTGCTTAATCACTCTCACTTTGAAATGGTCCCCATTCTTCTCTAGGACAGCTTGAGTAATCTGTGCATTAGGAGATGTAGTCAATGGCAAAGGCTGTCCATCTGTAGTCTGATGTGGCAAGCATGCCTCCGCAGAGATGACAAGTGGGAAAACATCTTCTTTAGGTGACGGTTTTGCAAGATCATCCAACTCAAAGAAGCCTAGATCAATGCCAGTTCCTGGAGGCTGGTGGAACTTCTGTCGCAGTCCTTTCTGAAACGGGACTCTTATATGCATATTGGCTTCAGGATATAATGGACTGAAACTGCAGTTTGCCCCTTCTTTGGCAAAGTAAAAAATGGTGATACTGCCATCAAAAAAAGAATAAAAAAGTTATGAGATATGACAATGTCCATTTGCATCAAGTTTGAAAAACTAATTATTAAAAAAAGTAGGCACTACAACAACTCAAATTAAAAGGCAACAACTGGATTTGAATTCACAGATGATAGTCCTAGCATTTATTGTGTCTCTCAATGTACCTTGCTGAACACCAAACTCAATGAAATTTCAAACAAGTAAAATGTGTCTCTCACTGACCAGAAAACACATCATACTCTTACAACCATTGTTTCTTCAGGTGCTCATCAAAAATGAAAATACTTAAAGCAGAACATAAGTTAATACTTCAAAATCTTGAGGATTTATCTAAATCAATCAACACTCTTTGACTGCATTTGTCATAGGTGTATAGTTTGGTATTTCAAAACCCAATGAAAAGTTTCACCCAGATTCTGGCCATTCACTACAAACTCCATGCAGTTCTCCATTCTGAAATTAAACATACAAACTAATTGTTTTTAATTTCAATTTTACCGAGTGAACCAAAAGCCTCTCTCAACCCCTCTTAAAGATGAGCGCCAATTGTGTGCATCTCTTTAACTTGGAATATCCTTACCTAAATGATGTCTCAACAATAATTCCCTGCCCCTGTTAGGGTCTCCACTTGTTAGTAACCAATCACAAGTGGAGCAAATAGGAACTTGTTATACAACAAGCCATGCTTTGAACTGGAACATTATCAAGAAAAAAATAAAAGAAAGTTGAGAATCAAGATCCAAACCCAACAGGCATGCTTTGAACTGGAAGAAAAAAAAGTGATCAAAGCAAGGTATAATACCATTAAAAAGAATAATACCATTCAAACCCAACAGCATTAAAAAAGAATAATACCATCCTTTGGCAGCAGTATGAAGATTACCATAAAGGTATTTCACCAAATTTATACTTAAAAGTTCAGAAAAAGAATTCTTCTTCTATGATTGCTAATAAAGCACATACAGCATACTGATAAAATGCCTCCACTGTACCACTGGGGCCACCTAAAGAGTTCCATCCTTGCAAATGCCCCAGAAGAGGAGGGAAGGCAGTGTTTTAAAAAGAGCAAGGGGCAATTTGCACCCAAGGCACAAGGCGCAAGGCGAGGCACATGCCTTTTTGAAGCAAGGCGCAAAAATACAAAATTGCCAAAAAATGTCAGAATATTCAAAAAGATGCCAACAAAATATTAATAAAAAATAAAAATAAGTATTTTAATTTAAAAATAAATCAAACATATTAAATTTGATTAATAAAAATTAAACCCAAAAATTTTGTAAACCTATTATCTAAAATTAAAATAAACATAACAAGCAAAGCACATTCAAATGAAAACTTAAAAATAAAATCAAACATATAAAACATTTTCAAGCATGTAAAACCCACGATCTCTTTTTTTCCTCGATTGCATTACTTCAAATAGCTAATGTGATGTAAAACATATCACATTCCTGATTCTACGAGCCGCCTTTGTACCAAGCCCCTCAAGGCAAGCCCAAACAAATCCATGTTAGGGTCTTAAATTCTTAATCCTTACACAAAAAAATAAATGATTTTATAATGTTAATTGTCTTTTAAGAAGATATTTTACTAGGATGAATGAATGAACAACAGTAGCAAATAGGGGAGCCCCCAACCAAGCCCCTCGCCTGAGCGCCTAGGCACACCTTTTAAACAACTGCGGGAAGGGAAGGAGGAGAGAGAAAGGAGAAAACATGTCCTAATGAATGAACAACAGTAGCAAATAGGGGAGCCCCCGACCAAGCCCCTCACCTGAGCGCCTAGGCGCGCCTTTTAAATCACTGAGAGAAGGGAAGGAGGAGAGGGAAAGAAGGGGAAAAAACATGTCCTTTAAAATACATACAAGAGAAAGATAACTCCATTTGATCCTCAGTCATCACATAGATATCAGACATGCAAAAAATAGCAGTTTCATTTACTGCAGACATCTAAACCAAATGTAAAACCACTTCAGCACCCATAAAGACAAAAATGCACAACACTAGAAAATAAATTACCTAAAACCTCCAGGCTGTTATTCAATCACCATTCTCCTCCAGCCCCTGGCTCATCCTCTAGACACAACTTCTATTCCCCAACCCCCCAAGTCTCCCTCTATTTCTCCTCAAAATGGTCTCAGATAACCTGATCCTACCCATGCATTTGACAGCCCCAACTTCAGAACTTCTTGCCCCTTTCATTCCAGATACACCTCATTCTGTTATTTTTCCTGTTCTTCCTATCTTTAAGTTTAGTTGATATCATCCCCCATTCCCCCACTCCAAAGTAAAGGAAGGAAAAGAAAACAAAAAAAAATTCATAGCAAACCTCTCCCGGTTCTCTCCAAGAATCTTGGTACAAGCCTCCTCAACAGCGCCATGTACCCATTCCCCCACCCCAAAGAAAAGGAGAGAAGAAAAAAAAAAAAAAAACAAGTTCCATAGCAAACCTCTCCCGGTTCTCTCCAAGAATCTTGGTACAAGCCTCCTTAACAGCGCCATGTATCCATTCCCCCACCCCAAAGAAAAGGAGAGAAAAGAAAAAAAAACAAGTTCCATAGCAAACCTCTCCCGGTTCTCTCCTAGAATCTTGGTACAAGCCTCCTTAACAGCGCCATGTACCCATTCCCCCACCAAAGAAAAGGAGAGAAAAGAAAAAAACAAATTCCATAGCAAATCTCTCCTAGTTCTCTCCAAAAATCTTGGTACAGGCCTCCTTAACAGCGCCATGTACCACAAGTAGAATACATAAGAAGCCACCCCTAAAATGTCCAACTTGAATATTTTGGATTCTAGAATAGCATAATATCTACTCAGTAGTCTCTCCATAATGCACGCTTATCTCAACAGCAAGGAGCCCCAAACAACAAGAATTTCAAGAAAATTATCTAACAAGAAACTGACCATGCAACATCCTCAATTTCTCTCCTTTAAGGCTTTAACCTCCTTATAATTATGATAATTGGCTATTTCTTTCATTCTTCACCAAAGTAAATTCAACAATGCATCATCATCATCATCCAAGCCTTATCCCAATTATATGGAATCAGCTACATGAATCCTGTTTCGCCAATCTGTTCTATTTAATGTCATGTCCACTGTTAAATCATTGGCGCTGAGATCATTTCTTACTACTATCCATGTCCTTTTTTGGTCTACCCCTTGCCTCTTCTAGCCCCTTTAACTTGTAACAAATCACTTCTTATGAATGTTATTCATGACCTTCCATGCACGTGACGAAACCATCTTAGTCTACTTTCTCTCATTTTATCACCTATTGGAGCTATTCCTAAGTTCCTACAAATAACTTTATTTTTTACCCAATCATCTCAGAATATGCATTTCTGCCACACTCATTTTCTGGACACATTGTTTCTTGACTGCTCAACACTCTACTCCAAACAACATAATTGGCCTTACAACTATTTTATAGAATTTTCCTTTTAATCCAAGTGGTATTCGCCTATCACACAAGACTACAGATGCACCCCCTTCATTTTTCCCATCCTGATATAATTCTATGAGAGACATCCTTGTCAATCTATCCCTTGTTATGAATTATCAAACCAAAGTACCGAAAAAGGTCGCATTGAATTATCTCTTGGTCTCCAATCCAACGTGTACCGTGATTTGAAGTCCCATTATTATTAAATTTACATGCCATATATTTTGTTCTCGTCCTACTTACTTTAAAACCTCTTGTTTCTAAGCCATTTGTCCATAAGATTAACTTTGCATTTAATCCTTCATTAGTGTAATCAATTAGAGCGATGTCATCACCAAACAACATGCACCGTGGGACCTCCTCCTAAATATGTTTAGTCAATTCATCCATGATCAGTGCAAATAAATAAGGGCTAATTGCTAAACCTTGGTGAAGGCCCATTATAACTATAAAATCTGATGTTTCACACATAGGTGACATTGGTTGTTGCATCATCATAGATACCTTTAATTAGGTCTATTAACCTATTATGAACCCCTTTCTTTTCCAAGACCCATCATATTATCTCTCTAGGAACTCTATTATATGCTTTATCTAAATTAATGAACACCATATTGAGATCTCTCTTTTTCTCTGTAAACTTTTCTATCAATCTTCTCAAAAGAAATATAGCTTTCATGGTTGATTTCCCTACCATAAACCCAAATTGGTTCTCTAATATACTTGCTTCATGTCGTACTCTTTGCTCAATTATTCTCTCCCACAGTTTCATGGTGTGGTCCATAAGCTTAATCCCTCAATAATCATTACAAATTATATATTGCCTATGTTCTTAAATATAGGCACCATACTATTCTTTCTCTAATCATTAGGCATCTCCTTTTCTTTCATTATCTTATTGAAAAGCTTATTAAGCCACAATAAGCCTACCTCTCCCATACATTTCCATACTTCTATTGGAATTCCATCGGGTCCTAATGCTTTTCCCTTCATCTCATTCAGCACCTCTTTCATTTTAGTAGTTCTAATTTTATGAAGGTAWATGTTATTTTTATCATTATTTGTATTTCTAGTCTCTCTTCCATTAGTGTCCTCTAATGTTCATTTAATAACTTTTAAAAATAGTTTTCCCAACCTTGTTTCATTTCCTCATCTTTTGCCAATACTCTTTGATCTTCCTCTTTAATGCACCCAACATGGTTTAAATCCTTGCCTTTCCTTATCTCATCTTTGATAGTTTATAGATTCCTTTAGTGCTCAATTTATGATAAAGCTTATCATATGCCCTAAGTTTAACTTCACTTACTTCTTTTTTTAACTTCTTTTTTTATGGTTTTATATTTTTCCCACCTTTCCACATTTCTAGTCTTTTACCGTTCTTTGTAATATACTCATTTTTATCTATTTATATTTTGAACCTTTTCATTCCACTACCATGTTTCTTTAGCACTTTTCCATTTCCCTTTAGATTCTCCCAAGACATCCTTTGCTACTTTCTTTATGCAGATGGTCATTTCAAGTCATATATCATTAGTCTTTTCATCT